AATGCATTTCAAATGTGTATCTTTGTGCATCTGATAATTTGCATGTATATATATATGATTTATATGTTTTTTTTAAATACATATTACATGTAATTTTAAATTTGTTTAAAATAATTGTAGCCAGTGGTAGAACATTAGAAAAATGACAATCTGGTTCAGGTTCAATAATTTACTAGGGTCAAAATAAAACCTCAGGAAAACCTGAAATATTACAATTACACACAACATATATACAACACACAGAGAGACATTTAGACAGATAATTAAAACATAATAGCTAGACTTTACTTTAGAATAAATTCATCTTACCCTATCTCATTAACACAAAGTCTTTCATACTGCATTCTCACATATATGCAGCGCAAGTGTAAAGTAGCATTGATAACAATAAATAACCCTGGTTACATAATTATATTTATGATTCAGAGTTTGATTTAAAGCATTGGTCAATCTAATTAAAATGAGATGTTAGATCTGCTCTCATACTCACTACACAATCTAATTAAAATTAGATGTTAGATCCGCTCTCATACTCGCTTTACTAACATCTGTTAGTATAGCAAGTATGCAAGGGGATCTAACATCTAATTTTAGTTTGTGTAGCGAGTATGCAAGCGGATCTAACATCTATTTTTAATTAGATTGAGCATCGATAATCTTGCAAGTGTAAAACTGCTTAAACAGATAGACCAAAAAATGTTTACCTCTTGGAACATGCCAAGTTTGTGGTAAGGAAGTCTTGGCAACATCAGTCGGAACTGCCTTAAGATTGGATGCTTTCATATGCGCAATGGAGTACAATACACCTACAATGTGTCCACAACATCCAGATCTACCAACTGCACAGGAACACTTGCTGTCTTCTCTTCCAAACACCGGTCCTTTCTTTATTACTACCTAAAAATGATTATACATGTATTAGAATATCATTAAAGTACAATTATCATATGACCAGACATATACAAAAAACATGCATGTACATATTCTTTAAAAATTGAATACAACATATAGTTATTAATCTCAGTTACACAAATGTATAAATTCAATCATAAACTTAAACATGGCCAGTTGTACTTGGTATAATTATTAAATATCATGTTAGAAACACAATACTAGTTTGCATACCTCTACATCATGTGGGGACTCATTCTTTTTCTGGGATCTATAACATCTAGCTCTTATAAGACATCCTTCATAACCATCCAAAGCATACACTGTAAGTTTTAATTTAAAAGCATAATTATATAATACTTATATACTTTTTGCATCACCAGTGTGAGATATATATTACTGTATAATGCAAATAATACTGTTAAAAATAATGAGATATTGTTTATATAGGGATAATGATTAATGACTTAATGTAAGGGACATGCCCTTCCTAGCATATGCATGGTTCATAAACCAAATTCATTGTCAATGTTGTCAATGATGTTGTGCAATAATTTGAAAAGTTTAACACGCTCATGTTTTATATTATATATCACGAAAAATAATCATGTATTAATTTGATAACGATTAGAATGGGGAAATAACCTTGGTTTGTTTATATTGTCGTGTGAAACTGAAAGTACAAGTACAGTATGTATAACAGTATAAGCAGATATAGCGTCTTTAACTCTTATGTCTGTGACGTATTTCTCACTAAAATACTTATATCCTTTGGTGAGCTCTTTTGTACCATCACTTTTAACACACTTTCCTACAACTTCCTCCACAAAACTGAAGGAAATGACAAGTACGGTAGTTAAATCACGAGTCGATGTTTTGACTTTCAATTCAGCCGCCATAGTTTCTACCGACGCTAGCCTCGTTTTGGATCCGATATGAATATTCATCACGATCTCATTAAGAAAGGAGTATGAGAGCCCTAGCCCTAATTTTTAGAAATTTATCGTTAATTTTTGTTTTTAGAAAGTAGGTCAAACTCCAAGATCAAGGTCAAAGGATAAAGTTTTTGGTATACTGTATCTTATGAAAGGTCTTCTCACAAGGATTACGTATGTATAGTATGAAACCCCGAGTCTTTATCGTTCAAAAGTTATGGCCAGTGTTAATGTTTTTTTATAAGTATGTAAATCTCTAAGGTCAAGGACAAAAGGTTAAAGTTGTTGGTATCCAATGAAACATCTTATCATAAAAAATATGTATATGTGAAATATGAAAGTCCTAGATTCTAAGGATCAATTGTTATGGCCAACATAACAGTTTGGAATTTTTGTTAAAAGTGTGTCGATCTCCATGGTCAAATTTGGTTGTACCCATAGAAAGGTCTTGTCACAAAGAATACACATGTTAAACATGAAAGTCATATTTCCACGATATCAAAAGTTATGGGCATGGTTAAAGTTTTTGCGGACAAACAGACAGATACCTGTAGACAGGCAGACAGACAGAAAAAAGACTAACGGACATGACAAAAACTATATATATAGTATCATATACCCCGGAATCTTCGAGAGCAGTTTCATTTGAAATATATATTTACTAGGTACAATGCAATAATTCTAGAAGAAAATTTGCGAAAAATATTTATTTTGAATTAGCTACAAATGTATGAGCATCAATGATTTCGGTCGCTCTTCAAAATGGTGGTTTCATTTTTTCTCAGAACTAACTTATTTGTCGTCTGTAAAACAATTATAAATTGAAAATAGGATTCTCGCTTAGCATGAGAGACCCCGGGTCAAATCCCAAATGATCCTTCGGGGGGTGGGTGGGTGGTAAATGATCGTATTAAGCATATGAAATGAAGTTATGGCCCTTTGAGAGCAAAAACTTTCACATTAAATCGTTATTACATATTTTAAAGAATAGGCAATCATTTCTATATGACCAGTGAACACATTTTTTTATGTGCTTCAGTACACACATTTAAAAATTCTGCAAATCTGGAGGGGGATGTCGACCCCCCCCCCCCCCAATTTGAGCATGTTCTGTTTTCTTAGGCGTGGGATATAAAATCTCTAAATAGACTAGTCAAATGTAATAATGCATCGCTGCTGGGGTCGAGGGCAGAAAAGTGTTTCTTGTATTGTTGTGACCTCGGTTTATACGGTCTTATAAAGGACCGGTCTCCACGTCCCACAATGGGATTACGAACCCGCGACGTAAGGATCAACTCCTTACTTCACGACTCTACAGCAGACTCTCTAACGAATGTTGGTCTTCGTTTCATTTTTTAAAATCATCCTCAGTTTACCTTAAATATACATTTTTATGCCACCGTAATCGAAGATAGGTTTTGTCCTGTCTGTTTGTCCGCAAAAACTTTAACCTTGCCCATAACTTTCATATTTCTCAAATGAATTCCTGTCCCAAATTTTACCTTGGAGTTTGACACACTTTTACAAAAAACTTCCAAACTTTTACTCTGATCCTAACTTTTGAACGGTAGATATTGGTATTTTTCAAACATCATACATGTATTCCTTGTGACGAGACCTTTCATTGGATACCGACGACCTTAACCTTGGAGATTAACGTACTTTTAAAACAAATAACCTTGGCCATAACGTTTGAATAGTAAGTGCTAAGGCTTTCATTTTGCTTAGGTGTAATCCTTGTGAGAAGACCTTTCATTGCATTTGGATACCAAGAACTTTAACCTTGGAGTTTGACCTACTTTTTTAAAACAAATCGTGACGAAAAGTTTTCAAGGGTTATATTCAATTCTTCTAATAAGACTTTTCATTGGATACCAAGAACTTTGACCTTGGGATGTGACCTACAATATTAAAAAAATGTCCATAACTTTTGAACGGTTAGGGCTAAAGCTTTCATACTTCACATATGTAATCCTTACTTGCAACAAGACCTTTCTTTGGAAACCAACAACTTTGACCCTTATACCTTGATCCTTAAGTTTGACCTACAATGTACCTTTCAAAAACTTGTTCTTTGGCTTAACTTTTGAACAGGAGGTGCTAGAGCTTTCTTATTTAACAATTGTATTTCCTGTGAAAAGACCTTACTTTTGGAACCAACATATTTAATTTGCTTTTAGGAAAGTTAATCTTCGCTCGGTTGGCATACGGGGGCATCAATGCTGTTAATTTTCAGTTTCTTGTTTGTTAACAGAAACATTGAGCAGAGACCCCCTATATCTCAAAATATGCATGTTATTCACGATTTTTCCAAAATATTTGGAATACATACCACTTAATCAAGGGTCATTTCACAATAACGAAACTGAAGTTCATGATTTCTATTGCTGAGGTTACGAATACCACATTATCCTTCTATGAGCTGAGAGCAATATAATTTTCCCCTCCAAACAAGTTTTTTTTCCAAATTGCATACATTTTAATTGTCAGATCTTTACTCTGGATACTTCATTCACAAAGCTAATTGAATATAATTTTTTGTAAATCTGAAGCTATAAGAATTCTGCGCGTCTTGTTCACCAATCTTCTTCACCTGGTCTGTGAACTGCAATCAAAGAACTGACATGAAGGTATTCAATATATAACGAAGGGAATTAGAATCGTTTTAAATGTTAAAAATACATTGTAAGATTGTAACGATGAAAGTGAAATGCATCCAATTCCCATGACTGATCTGATGACAGGTAAAAAGTCATTTTGTATGTGACAGTTTTTGAAGAGTAATCTGCCCTTGATTAGAATTTTTTTTTAAATAAATTATGTCAAAATATTTTTGGTAAATCAATTACTTTATTTCATATTTTTATAAAAAGAGAGTTGATACATATTTTCACTAAGACATTTGTATGAAATTCACATTACTTTTAATTTCACAATATCTTAATAAATCATGTGCTGCCTATAGACGTTAGTGTAAAATTCAAGGTGCAATTAATTGGACAATAATTCATTTTTTTTTTTTGCTGTAAATTCCTTTGGTGGAGTAAATTCATTTCATTACATTTTCAAAATGCTATCATGATCAATCATTTCGAAACATTCATTTATAAGGTACAACATATGGTCATTACACATTGAATACCTTAAAATACCTTAAAACCTGGCGTGGATACACGTGAGCTAGAAATGGATTGACATTTCGTTAGCAGTACTTGCGTATTTAATCATCCTGTATACATGTACCTTGACTGGAAATCATAGTTCCCTTTGAACGTTCGGTCTCTCAGTTTGATGTTTTCCCACATATGCAAGCTTTTTATTCTTCACACACTTATTCAAATATGAGCCAGGATTTTACATGACCCCTACAACCCAACCTGACTAGGGTATATGGGGTGTTATAACTTATATCACAGTCACTCATCCATACATACAGATATAGACATTCACTCGAAAGACAGAAGAAAAGAGATGGAGAGAGAAAGGTTACTCATGCTGTTTTTATACAAAACATATATACATTGATTGGACTATAGTTACATATTTCTACTCAAATATGGAATATTACTATCTTTATATGTTTGGGTATTTTTGCTAACAAAAAATGAAATTTAAATCTAACAACTTGAAACCAAATCAACCGTGCATACATTGGTATATATTTGCATTCACACATATCTCTTTCTGTTATTGCAAAAAATTGATTCAAGGAAAAATGCAGAGATATAAATATACTTTTAAACAATATTACACACCATTCATAGATATACAAACTTATTCATTCAGTTTTGTGAAAAACTTCCATTTCTCATTAAATAAACTAGTACATTTGTTTTTAACTGCTCTTTGTTTTTCAATTTTATACAAATTAGTCCATATAGCTTTAAATTTGTTAAAATATAAAGGATTTTCTTTACATCTGGAACAGTATATCATATTTCAAATGAAATTTATTAATCATTTCATTTTCAGCACAACCAAACAAAAATGTTTTCTTATCAATTACAATATTTAATGAAAAAAGTCACTAAACCAAGCATAAACATTTGTTAAAAAATGTATTTACTTCTACACATTCAAGAGATGTTATAGTGTATCATTTTCTCTATTACAAAAGCTGCATAAATCATTCTCTATTTTTTAAAAAAAAATTTCAAAAAGGTGATTGTTGTCAAGATTTTATGATTTATTCTGTATTGCAACCACTGTAATCTTCTATCGATTGTCACTTTAAAAACATTTTGATTTATACTTTCCCACTCTTGCTTTGACATTAGAAACTGCTGATCCCATTTTTTTTGACCAGTGGGCTTTTCTCCACTATCTTTTAGAATTCTGTATACTTTTGTATTTCCCTTATTATCCAATACAAGAGGGATGATATGTAATGGAATAAAAGGTTCTTGTTCTTTATTTCAGGTTGTAACTGGATAGTCTCTCATACATTTTTAGGTCACCTGAGTAACTCAGGTGACCTATTGCTATCTGCTTTCGTCCGTCGTCGTGCGTCGTGTGTCGTGTGTTAACATTTGAACATTTTCAGCATCTTCTCTGAAACCACTGAACCAATTTTAACCAAATTTGGTATACAGCATCTATGGGTAAAGGGGAACAAAAATTGTGAATTTCATGGTCCCCGCACCCCTGAGGCCTGAGGGGTGGGGCTAAAACCACTAGAATTATTGCAATCTTTAAAAATCTTCTTCTTTACTCCTGGACATCAAGCAGGCAAACTGTTAGCATGAATGTAATGAGCATTGAGTCCTCTACCAAAATTTTGAAATTCATGGCCCCAGGGTCAGGGGTTCTAGTGCTAGGGCGGGGCTATATAGATTATATAGTGAAAATGCATTATTTCTTTGAAAATCTTCTTCTCTGCTCCTGGGTATTAAATAAACTAACTAAGTACATAGTTATGATGAGCAAGAATGCCTCTTCCAGATTTGTGAATTTTATGGCCCCAGGGTCAGGGGTTCTGGTGATAGGGCGGGGCTCTATCGATTATATAGTGAAAATGCATTTATTCTTTGAAAATCTTCTCCTCTGCTTC